TTTTTCATATCGGCCGTCTGATTCAGATGGAAGACAAAAAGTATGGCAAAGATGTCGCAAACAAATCATAAATCGGTGAACGTTCGCGCGACTTGCTTCGTTCAGTCGCCCTTGGGACACTTTTTCTCATGCAACGATTCCTCACAGGTGTAAAGTTCCAACGTGCGCTATTCACTATGTTGCAACATTTTGCGGGTAAATTCCCCGAGGAGGAAGGGGGAAGTCCCTTTTGTCCACAGGATGAGAAATGATCCTTTCTGTTCCCTGCCCCTTTGTGTCCATTCGCCTTTGTTTCTTTTTTTTCGTTTTTTTTTTTTTTTTTTCTCCTCTTCAGTTGGTTTCAGGACAAATTTGAGGGAAGCATCCCGCAAAGTACAATTCTCCATCTTTTAAACGGGCAACTTCGTACAGTTATAAATGGACAAATTGCAGGGCGCCTTTTTTTTTCACAAATTTCGCTTCCATACGTATGTCCAAGGAGTCTCCATGGGCATATAGCCTCTCCTCATAAGTAGGGTTGTTTCCTCCTACAAACCACAGCGCATATCATCGCGGCGGCGTACATATAGGCAAATGTGCACTGAGTTACAGCTCCATTTTTGTGGGTGCGTTCAAATAAATTGGCGCATGAGCACATTTGGCATAAAATGGAGAAATATAGTTTCACAGAGGGAAGAAATAACATAGGACAGGAAAGAAAAAAAAAAGGCCTAAATGGGGATTTATGTTTCATTAAATTGGGAGTCATACGCAGTCGTCACACACCTGAGGAAGAGTCGTTTATGCTGATGTGTGTTCGCCTCTTTTCACTGCACTATTTTTTTTTTTTTTTTACCAAGTGGAACCTTATCTGTACTGTGATACATTTCCCGGAGTTGTATTTTTTTTTTTCTTCTAATTGGGAAGCCGAACGGAAGAACGAATTGCCCTTTCGCGTTTTTCTTTCCCTTGTGCTGAAAGAGGTAAAGCGATGCACATGCAACTGAAAGGGCAAATGGGTAATGAACAAATGAAAACGCATCGGCCAAAACAAATTACACACAAAGTGTTAAAAAAAGGCTGCTTTTCCCCCTTTCGCTTAAGCGTTGAAAGGGGCTCCCCCCCCCCATCCAACAATTTTATCCCTCTGGAGATCAGGGCAGTTAGCTCCTTCCGAATTTTAAAAACTGTTCCCTCTTTGTATTCTCCCGGTCACCCCATTTTTTTTTTGTTTTTGTTTTTTTTTTTTTTTGCTTAATTTGAAAGTTGTTATAGACCAGAAATGAACATAAAATTTGAGTAATTATTTTATATATTTTTTTCTCCCATTTGAATCGATTTATGAACAAATTCACTGATAGCTTACACCTCTTTTCGCCGAAAGATAACAGGTCAGTTTTTCTCGCAGCACAGCATGGACACTGAGACGCGTTGCAATCATTTTTCTGCGACGTTGTGGCGTTTGATCCGTACACATCGCTCATTTCGAAACGTCCGTGTGTAGAGCATACGTATAAATATCTACATGTGTACAAACCTCCACCGAATATTTTTGCCCTTTCTCCTGTCCAAACCTCAACACGCAGGTCCGACAATGATAAGGGAAGCGAACTCGAGAGAAACGTCCTCGCCACGAGTGAGTCACCCACGAACGAGTTAGCCACGAAAGGGATACTCTCAAATGGAGCTTCCGCCAGAGGGGTCCCCCCAGACCCAATCTACGAATTGGGAAACGAAATAGAAGACCTTTTTGATGAAGATGTGGAGAACATCAAATTCAACGCAGATGAAATTTCTTCCTTTTTTCTGAAAAATAACGAACTCGAAAATGAAAAGGAAGAATCAGCAAATGTTTGTAGCAACCCACGAGAGGTCAACAGTATGGAGAGAAATGCCGAGTGCAACAAAATGGAAAGTCTCTTCGATCCAGCCATCAATGGACCACACGTCTGCTGCGTAGCCATTTTGTCCAAAAGAGAAAACGTCGAAATTGAATTTGTCCACCCAGAGATATTCCAGCCGCATGAAATAGAGCATCTAAGTAAAAGGAGGAAAAAAAAAAAAATGAAAATGATAACCCCGTTTTGTGTGTGGCATAGATACAAAGGGAACTGGATAGAGGATGTGAAATCTTTAATTACAGAAAGGATGTTCTTGTTTGGGGAAACCAACACGGGGAACGTCCTCTGCGATTTTTACAATCACAAGTCGTGCAAAAATTACAATGAATACAATGTTATGTATGCCCCGAGTGGGAACAGGTACTACATGGTAGGGCTGAATTATATGCAGGACAGCAGTTACAAGGAGATCCTCGCCATTGCACAGGTGCCACACTTCGACTTCATATACGCGAGGCTTTTCCCGGCCGTGAGGGCCGCCCTGGGGCAGGGTAGAGCGACGGGTAGAGCGCAGGATGGAGCGAATGATACGGAGCAGGCCAAATCCGAGGACACAGCGCAGCATGACTCACAGCCCTCTGTGAAAACTAAAGGAGATGGGCAAAAAAAGTACGGCGAGCTCATCACCTTCGTCGACAGCTTCGCGGCGGATCACCCGTTTGATGAAATGGAGTTCAATGATTACTACGTGCATTTGTCCAAAGACATAGAAGATGTTAGCAACATAAAAGTGAAAAATATTCTGACCATTCTAAAAGCAATATTGTTGGAAAAAAAAGTTGTCATTTCATGTTCGAAGAAGGGAAATGGATGCAGAATGATCTTGCTCCTTCTTTCCTTCATTCCTGACATAATAAATTTTGGATTCAATGTAAAAACTTATGAGGACAAATTTGAAGAATGGATAAAATTAAAGCTCCCTCTGATTTTATTTCACGAAAAGTATGTTCTCCTTCTCCACATAAATAACTTGCAGCTATTTAATGAACACGCAAATGGAAAGAACTACTTAATATCGACTAGCACAGGTAGCGATGTATATTATTACGTAAAGAATAGTGTGGATGTTTTGTACGAGCTGGACAATGACGAGCTAATTGTGAAAAAGGAAAATCTAATGAATGTTTTAAGTTTGACAAAATATGAATATAATTATTTGAAGGGCCTTAACTCCATTTTTCAATCTTTGATTAATTTTTCTTCTCTTTTTTTTGAGACCGCCAAGCAGAGCAGCATCACGAAAGATGGTCATACCGGGGGGGGCCCTTCCAGGCAACACTCTACCTCTGCTAATGTATTGAACAATCGCTTATGTGCAACGGGTTTCCTCGAAGGTGGGAACGCCACTTTGACGCACCAGCATGGGGAAGTGGAGAGGCACACACCCCGGGGTGGAGAAATGATGCCCAATTGTGAAACGCTTCCCTATAGGAATAGCAACCATGTGGGTAAGCACCATGATGTTGATGGGAGGAGTAACCCCCCCTTGGGAGAAGGCCAAGTTGACCATGCCGGAGAAAAACAAGAATACATTGATGACGAAGATGACATATGTGTCCTAAACACGAAATCTGTGAACTTCCAAAAAGGCGAACGGAAGAGGTTTGTCCAAATCAGTGAAGCCGAAG